AAAGAATACAATACATTGTTATTAACTAAGGCCACAGGTCGTACAATAGATTTCTTGAGCTTTTTTTTTCTGTCTAACTGAAATTGTATGTCCTCCACCTGCTTCAATTCAGCCATTTGTATCCAACTTTCTACTTCCGTAAGTTCAACAGCTTTACCCTCCACAGATAAGCACGATCATGCAGCATTTGTCTTCCTGTGCCTGGCTTATTTCACTTAGCATAACGTCCTCCAGGTTTATCCGTGTTATTACAAATGATCAGATTCTTTCTTTTTTATGGCATTATGAATAGCATTCCTTTCTGTATGTACCACATTTTCCTCGTCCATTCATCTGTCAACGGTGCTTAGGGTGGTTGCCTGTCGTGGCTATTGTGAACAATGCTGCAATGAACATGTGAATGCAGGTCTCTGTTCAACACACAGACTTCATTTCCTTTGGCTCTATCACCGGTTTTGCGATTGCTGGATCATATGATACTTCTATTTTTAGTTTTTTACGGAACCTCCATACTGTTTTCCATATGGCCATACTAATTTACACTCCCACCAACAATGTTCATGGTTCCTTTTTCTTCACATCCTCTCTGGCATTTATCTGTTGTTGTTTTTTTTTATAGTAATCACGTATAAAATTTTAAAATCTCTAACATGGAGAGTTTTTTCTTCTTCTATTTGTTTGTAATATGTGTGCTGCACCAAATCAAAATTTCATGTTATTCCAGCCTATTAATAGGTGTTTAGTACACATTTAAAATAGTACTGATTTCTATTAGTACAGCAATACGTATTCGCCATGCACCATCATCAGCGTTAACCCACCACTCTGTCATAAGGCTGTGATGGAAACAGGGCTTGATCAATTTTTCAGTTCTTTCTAATCATTTTAAAGAAGAAGAAGAGGAAGAGGAAGAGGAAGAAGGAGGAGGAGGAGGAAAAAAGTCTCACTGGAATGCTTGTCTCTAGGCAGCATCTGCCTGTTGCCAGTCTCTGTTGTGCACAGCACACAACGTCTCTGACAGGGGCATAGCTGGGGAAGGGGCTATGTGTCTACCTGAAGAACAGGATGACTGATTCAGGTTGCCCAGTCCTCGCTTTCACTGAGTCATACATGAGACAGCTTGTAGGGCCTCTCCTGTTTTCTAGTTAACTTCCTTTATTTCATCTAATATTTTCTCAAAATAAGCCACATCAAGACAATAGGAAAGGTTAATTAAAATATTTATAGCATACCAACTGGCAGTTTATGCTCTTTACTGTGTGATTTTTTAAAAAGGTGCTACTATTGTAGAAGATTCTAAAATAGAGTAGTAAATATATATTTTAATGTGACACAGTTATAATTTTTTAGCACTAAATTATACTTTTTTGTTATGTGATTTGTGTGGGTGTGTATTCAAGTTTTTTTTGGTTTTTGTTTTTGTCTTTCTCTGTGAAAAGCCATCTTGCTATAAGTCCAGTTCTTTTTGCTTTTATCCACAGGGAAGTCATAATCCCCCACTTAAATGGAAGCTGGTTGCCATGGAAATCACTCTAATGCCACTGAATCAATAGTTTGATTTTGCTGACATTAAATGTAAAAAGAAAAGATAGACTAAGATTTATAAAAGTGAAATTTTATCTTCATTATAATGTTGATAGGAAAATTGTAAAGAAAACATGTTGTGTAATGAACTCCAGTTAACTGGTGATTATAAAGAACTGAGGATACTTAACAGAAAAATGCACATACTTATATAATCTGTCTAATAAATAAATACTTTAGAGTATCATTGAGTCATAAATAATAATCTCGAGCATATACATACGCATACATGCATCTAGACTCAAGATTCTTTCCCTTCTCGGAATGAAGCTCTGGATCCATCCTGTTATTGTTAAGGTCATAGTTTGATAAACGAGATCTGAGTGTATTCAGTGTTGCAATTGTGTTTTTATTAAGTATTCTGAAGAGAAAGGAAAATTTACATGGTGAATCACTTTTTCATAGAAGTCTGTCACTGCTGTCCAGGACCTACTCACCCAGTTAAGTCCACTTAACACCCGCTGGGTCCCACTTCAACTGAATGCTTCTAGAGCTATTTTGAAAGATCCCTTTTTAAGGGAAAAGTTAGACTTGGACCTAGTGTTTAATGATCACTTAGCAAGTTAATTTCAAGTCTAACTTCAATCCTTGCTGCTGTAATTCAATCACTTTCTCCTTATCTGCCTTCAGAAGAGAGAAGGATGACAGAGTTTATGCCTTCAATTGACACTACCTGCTGGGAACCCTAGAGTCTTAGATGCTGAAGGTACCTGAGAGAATTAAGAGCCTCTCCTCCTCAGACAATAGCCATTGAAGTGTTCCAACTGAATAGTAATCTGTTCTATTTTTAAGACATTTAAATTGCCACTTAAATTTTTCTTCTGTGGACAGGAATCATGATTTTTTTCCATAGTTTCACTCCAAGTACTGTCGCTCTCCCTCCCCTGAGGGGTGCTCTTCTGGGAGTGCACTTCACACCTTTCCAGGAATGTTTCTGGCAGCTTGAGCTACTTGATAACATATTTCTTACAGGTTGTTTTCCTGGCCTGACTCATTTTTCCTCTCCTTTTAGGCATTTTTTCCCCTTCCCTTTATTCTTAAATCATTCCATATTGCATTCAGGCTCTTATCATTCAGAGATCACTGTCTTAAATCAGTAATCGACCTATGTGAACAATTAAATACTATCAATTATTGTAGTTTTCTGGAATAGAAGTAAGACAGAGTGACTTTTGGACACAAAATTGTGAGAGAGAGAGGGAGAGTGAGAACCGTAAGGCATTGGGTATGACATAAGAGGAAACCTGAGGACATTTATAAGGCAAGTATCTGGATTATTTAGTGCATTGATTAGTATACTAAATACCTGTTTGTTTCTAAAAACCTCAAAATGTTTCAAGTTGAAGGGAACTCTGATAACCCTGAATCATGGGGAAAAAAATGAAATGTCTAATACATTCTAAGAAAGCAGAGGAAACATAGAGTTACACAAATAGAGCTACACACACACACACACACACACACACACACACACACAAAGTCACTGTAGACTCATCTGATAGGTACAATTTGAATAGGCTTGAAAAAATTAGAACCAATCTAGGACACACACACACACACACACACACACACACACACACAAAGTCACTGTAGACTCATTGATTGTAGCTGAAAAAATTAGAACCAATCTAGGAATTCCTCAACAAGATCATGATTAAAGAAAGTATTATCATGTATCTTTCTCTCCATAAAAATGGTGTTTCTTGACAAATTAAATACCATGGGAAAGGGTCACAATAGAATAAGCAAAACTACAAAGCAAAACTCAATACACTAAGATTTCTATTTTACAAATAGACACACACATACATGTTTTGCATACGTGCACTCTCACACATGTACACATATTTGTAATGTATTATTGTTTATAATATCATAGGAGAAACTAAGAGTAACAGGTTTTCCTTTATAGAATTGATATATTAATTCCATACACAGGTATTTGTTGGTATTATTCAATAAGCTCTGAACTTATTATTTTGTTGGGTAAAGGCACTTGGGCTCCAATAAAGGAGAGACAAGGGTGATGGAGGAGACAGCATATTCTTCATGGGAACCTCATCTCATGGGCCACATTTGAACATCTATAGGAAGATTAGGCCAGTAGATGAGGGAGGTTTTATGAGGGGCTGGAGAGACCAGATGACAAAAAATACGCCCTGTTGAGAATAAGACCATGTGACTCCCACTGTCTTCTGCAACCATTGTGGAACTTGGCACCCCAAGCGCTCAGGGAAGCTTGAAGCGTAGTGGATAGAATACTACATATGGAATCTGGTAGAACCCTGCTCTCAAGCTAGCTGCCAGCAGTATCGAGACCCTTGAGGTGTTTTCCACATCTGATAGGTACAATTTGAATAGGCTTGTGCAATGGATGAATGTTGGTGTGCCTCCAGAATGAGTATGATAAAACCTCAGTTCCAGGGGTATCAGCGTGAAGCCATTGGGAGGTAATCAACGTATGAGGTGGAGACCCTACGAATGAGAGTGGTGTTCTTCAGAAGAAAAGGTCGCATGAGGTCAGAGAGAAGTCAGTAGCATGCCATGTAGAAGCAGGTCCTCATAACAAAACCTACCATGCTGACTTCCCAATCCAGACTTTCAGGCTTCAGAACTCCAAGAAATAAATTGCTCTTGTTGATAAGCCACTTAGCATATGCTACTGTGTTACAGCTGCTCTGACTCACTAAGATAGCTTGTAGCAAAGCACACTTAAGACTGCTCTCCCACCAGCAGGCTCTCAAGAAAATTAGGAAAGCTGAGACCTTATTTACTCAAGAAAGGATTGAAGAGGGGGTCAGATTTGGTGTTGACATGACCTAATTTACATCCATAGGTCAGCAAGGAGAATGAGATATTTGTGATTTGTATATTTAATAGCGGAGGAAAACATATAGGTAACAGTAGAAATTAGGATTATAAAGTGGAGGCTGAAATATGTAATATACATGCACACATGTACATACCTACTCACCAGGAAGAATCACACCAACATGTCAAGAACGATGATTTTTAAAGGATAAAGTTACAAAATTCTTATTTCTATTTCCCTGCATTAAAATGGTCCCATCGGGATCAAATAATACTTCTTTTAATTATAAAAATGGTATTCATAAGAATGAGAAATGATAAATTTTGACTTAGAGACAAAATAGTTTTTGAATGATTGGGAGCTTTAAGTGGATAAGAAAACTCACATGTCGCTTTCCCTCTCCGGTAATACACATTAAATACATGCCTCCGGGTGTCATCTAGCAACACAGCGATAAATGCCTTCCCCTTGGGTCTTCTCTGGGACTTCGCAGTGATGGAGGAAGGATCAGAGACCCAGTGGGGAAGGCGGATGCTCCTTAGCATGCCGACGGAAGGTGTGGGCTGAAAGATTTCTACGCGCGTGGCGCCGGTTGGGTGTTTACCTTCAGTCCTCTCGGGGGCCTTCCCGCTCTTGCCAGCTGCTGTACTGTTGACGGTCTCTGACGAGGTGCTCAGCTTGGTGCTCGGGTCCCGCTTGGGCTTGGGTGGTGGCTGTCTCCGGGAGCTACAGCTGCTGTCGTCATCTGCGCCTCCTACAGAGTGCAGGGACTGGGATCGCACGGAAAAGCCACTGGAGCACGGGTGGGGAAGTCTGTCCTGAGGAGCAGGCATCGTCATGAATCCCATGCGGAAATGTTTGCCCACGTAACTCCCCTCGTGGCCTCGCCCTACTTCTCCACCTATGCTGTAAAAGAAAGCAGACCAAAACCCATGAAGAGGAGATGAGCCAGGGTGAGCAGGACCACAGATACGAGCCTATTTAAACACAATAGGTGAAATTCCACATTTTCACTTTAGACTGGTGAGGACAGATCCTTTGGCAAAAGACTGCTTTAGAAGGAAGCAGTTTCAAGTAGCATCAAAACATTCTATAGTATGTTCATTCTACTCACTGAGGTTTATGCCTAAAGTCAGACATGGGTTCATGTGTATGTATGTATCAGCTGTGCTTGCTATTGCAAATATTTAGACAAATTAAGTTCATTAGCAAATCAATTAAAGAGGGGAAGAAGGCATAGAAAGCAACCATGGATACCAGAGGCAATGTGGGAGGAGGGTTGGACAGGGAAGAGGGTGAGGGATAGGGAATCAAGGATGGAAAAAAAAAAAAAAAGCAAAATATACAAGACATAAGAAATGGAAAATTATTTGTTGATAACATGTATGTTGAGGTGCTTGATTGAGCCAACAGACAGTGTATTTTGGATGGAAAATTCATTTTGTATACTGTAAGGATGTATAGTGAATTAATGTAAAAAAAAAGAAAAAATAAAAATTCTATACTATTGGTTAAATTATGAAAATAAAGTAAAGGTGATTTGAGTATAATCAGAAATCTTTATTATTATTATTATTATTGTAGAGAGATTTTTGCTATAAGGTGTGTGCAGTCGCAGGAAAGAGAGAGAAAGAGAGACAGAGACAGAAAGTGAGAAATCACCCCCCAGGGGGATGGCTACGGGCAATCCCTTTTCCCTCATTCTCCTCTCCGGATCTTGGGCATGACAGACATGCTCCTGGCCTGAGTTTAAGCTGCCAAGCCCAGGACTCAAACCGCGGTGGACTACATGGGAGTCCAGCGATGCAACCATTAGCCTTCTGCTGGTCCCGATAATCAGCTTGTAGTTCAAATATAGGAAGCCATAAAAATCATAGGAAATGACTTTTGGACTACTCTGTGCTGGTAAGTAGTGGTGACTATGAAAAATAAATAAATAAAAATAAAAATAAATGTCCATGTGAACTTGTAAAAGGGAAATTTTTCTAGAGTTTTTCTATTTCCTTTATAAAGTTCAATAATTAAAAGAAAAAAGTAAAAAAAGAACCATCGTTACAATGTAGGGAGGGGTCTTGAAAAGTTGCTTAAAGATGTACATCATGAAGGAACTATGCATGGATTTCGAATAGTGTTTTGCTCTAAAATAAACTTATGCATTAACTCCATTTTCCCATGAACTTTTTGAAGCCTTCTCATGTTTGACTGTTTTCTTAGGCCTGTATAAATGGTTAAAAGTAATTTTGAAAAGTATGAACGTTAAATGCATGTGACGTCTACCTTCCAATGAGTTTATATAAGACTTTTTTTTTCATTTATTTTTATCTGGCTCTGCCTTCAACTCATGATGGAATTCCAGATAAAGTTTTGCAATTCTTTGTTATGTATCATTCATATTATTATAATACTTACTATAATTTTGCATTTCAATAGAAACACTAATAGCAAAAAGAGATCTCCCCTTGCCCCTCCTTTAACTGGGTTCTTAAGACCTTTACATGTTAATTGTGGATAAAGCCAGAAAATATGCAATAAGTACAGTGGACTGATCCTGGCATTTCATTCCAATGATAGCTTGCCACTCAGTATATATATTTTGCTAGAGAATGCATGCACTTGCCGGAGAGTTACAGAGATGAAGAGAAAGGGAGAGGAGAAAGCACTCCCCCGGGGAATGAGCACACTACAATCTCTTCTCCTCCATCTCTTCCTCCTTTCAGTATTCTGGGCCCACATACACACACTCCAAGAGTGTTTCTTGGGCTGCTGGGTCCAGAACTCAAGTGGCACAGTCAGCCATGTGGGACCCAGCTCTTCAACACAGGCCGTGGAGCCAGCTCAATCAAAAATATTTTTATATGTGTGTGTTTTTTTCCTGCATCGTTTCACGCGATATGCAAACACAGAGTGTGCCATCTCTGCATGAAGGTGAGCAGAAGCCCACCGCACTAACGAGGGCAAAGGGTATGCAGAATCACGAAAGGCAGTCCTCACGTCCTAGTGGTTAGCCATCCTAAATCTGTGAGGTGTTCACGGAATTTTCTTTTCTTTCCTTTCCTTTCTTTCCTTTTTTCTTTTGTTTTCTTTTTGTTGTTTTTAAGACAAAGTTGAAGCATACTTGATCAGAGCAATTTGTGAAAACTCATTAAGAATTTGAGGAGGAATAGGCAGGGTGGGGGTGATCTCCTGTTTGTGATCATTGCAGCCTTGATCTTTCCCATCAAAAAGGGAAGAGATTCTCAAAAACTCATTTTTCCACCAACTATTTTACATCCTGTGTCTCTTTCCTTATTTCTGTAGTTATATCACTGAACAAAAGGTGCTTGGGAATTTATTTATAGTAGTCTTACTCCCAGTAACACAGCCTCTGTGAGAGATGTATGTGTGTGTTAATGTACATAGGCATTTATGAGAGAGTTATGAGAAATAATGGAATCAGCCATTTCTGTTATGTTTGACCCAAAGACAGCCTATACTTTTCCTCAGTCAGCTAATGAGCTCTGCTGCTTTATTTCAGAATTACCTTCTTTTTTTTCTAAAGAATTATTTTATTTTAACTTTATTTATTATTATTATCATTATTATTTTCCAGTTTGATCAGAGAGACAGAGAGGGAGAGAGAGGAAATGGGAAATCAAGCCACCAGGTCCAAGACTTGAACCATGGTCGGCCATGTGGGAGTCCAGCGCCTTTAACCCCCATGCCACTTGCCGGCCCCATATTTCAGAATTACCTTCTGATTAGCATGAAACAACTTCATCTAACCTTACCTGCTTTTGTTCATATATATATATTTATATATATATATATTACACACGCACACACATATATCTACGATTACACACGCACACAAATACTTCTAAGAGAAATGTAACGTGTGCCAAAACAATACCAGGTACAGTTGCAAGTTTAGCTTGAACTGGCAGTAAATGCAGGGTGGGGATGGGGCTAAGATGCACAGGCCAAGGGTAATTAGTAAAGGAGTTGGAACACCTAGTTTTGAGAGATCAGGAGATGACTAGTTTAAAGCAGGTGAAAGACAATGGAATGTAGCACACAACTAGCTCCTGCATTTGCTATAGGAGCCTGCTGATATTTTTTAAATATGCAGATTTCTGGACCACATAATAAGGGCAACTACTTAATCATCTTTGTTGAATCAGAATCTCTCTAGATATAACTAACGAGTTTGTGTTTTAAAAATTATACTCAGATGTTTCCATCGTGGCCAATTCAGAATCCCTCTCAGAAACATTAAGAACAATGGCTCAGCTCATTAATGAGCATGTATTGGTTCTATTGTACAAGTCAGAAAGGCAAAAGCAGGAAAAACATCACAGACAGGAAAATGTGCAATGAGGGGGCAAACAATGTTGCAGTGATAAATGTGGTGCTCTGAGCAGCTGATCCATGGGGAGAGTTTCAGGTTTGTGTCCCAAGGCCTTCTTGAGCGCACTGGGCACGTGTATGCCCATGATCCAGGCTGGCTGAGTGTGGGATGGATAGCAGCATCCGGACTCTGTGTGGGGTGCCTGCCTCTCTTTCTTTCTCTGTCTCTCGACTAATGGAAGAGAGAAATAACTTTTTTTAAATTGTACAGTATATTGGTCAGCTCAGCTCTTGTTCGGTTATGCTGAAGTGACAATCTCTAACAGCTAGTGTTCTCTAACAACATGCTTGATTTAACTGGGTTGACTGTCTATCACTATGACCTTGCCCCACCTGCCTCCTTCATTCTAGGATCTAGTGTAGCCCCTATTGGAACATTTTGTTCTCCTGACAGAGAGACAAAAGCACTTACTGAACCATGTGATTTTTCTTAAGGCTTCTGCTCAGTCGTGGTATATAATCTTTCATTCACATTCCTTTGACTAAAAACAGTCTTGTGTCCAAGCTTGAAGCTATGGTTTGAATATGTCCCCCAGACTTCATGTTTGGAAATCCGGAAAGCCATTGTAATGATGTTGAGATGGTGGAGACTTGATACTATTATTGTCTTGAAGGGTGGGCCTTTGGGAAGCCACTAGGCAGCAGCGTGGAATCCCACAGTCGGACACTCACGGGTTTATAATAAGACATACCGCAGACATAAAAGTGCTGCTTTTTCTCCATCTTGCCATGTCATGTCTTCTGCAGTGTTATTCACCACTAAGGAGGCCCTCACTAAATGGCCCCTTAAATTTAGCTCTCCTGAAATGTGAGGTAAATAAACCTCTATTCTATATAAATTACCAAGACTCAGAAATTAATGTTATTATTTTTAAAATTTTTTGAGAGGTCTTTGCTATAGGGCATGTGCACTCACCAGAAAGACAGAGAGAGAGAGAGAAAGCAAGAAATCACCCTTCAGAGGGAATGACCACACCACAATCCCTTCTCCTCCCTTCTCTTCTTGGGATCTTGGGCACGCACACACATGTGCCGGGCGTGAGTTTAAGCCACTGAGTCTGGGACTTGAACTACGGTCGACTGCATAGGAGTCCAGTGACATAACCATTACACCAACTGCTGGTCCCAGAAATTAGTGTTATTAACAACATGGACTAGAGCTTTTCTCATCAATGACTTGGGGCTATAGACTCCTCCAGTAGGAAAGTACTGCAAATTATATGACAATACACGGTTATGCACATTCTTCTTATAGGTAAGAGACAAAATACCTGCTGTGATAGCTGTGAGGGTATGTGACTGATAGAACTTGCCATGGGAAATGAAGTTAGCCGAATAGCAAGCAACATCCCTGTGGGTATTGTGTTCCAATTGCTATAACTCTGGGCTGCATAAGGTTAAAGCTCTTGGTTCCTAAAAGGTACACCCTCTTTCTAGAAGACACAGTAGGTATCTCATTGACTGTTTCTTGGACAATTTAATCTCTCTTTTCACATAGACAGCAGGTAAGAAGAAGTATCACCATTGTGGAAGAGACCACTGACCCTAATCAACAGGACTACTTTTATGCATAGGTTGGAGAGAAATGTGTGTGGAATGAACCCTTTTCTTTCTTTCTTTCTTTTTTTCAGGTGGAGTCAAATGAGAGCCATGGAAGAGCTGTTCCCCAAACCTGCAGGTGAAAGACAACAGCTGAAGCTAAGCAGTACACGGAGGCAGCCATGGAGGTGTGTGACTCAGATTCCCCTAAACAAATCTCAAACACTTCTAATTCCATCTTGGTGTGGGCTTTCTGAGGACACCGAATAGAAATACTTGGGAACAACCATACAACCTGTGTCATTGAGAAACTAAAGAAGCAGAGGAGAGAAAGTTTCCCAAAACAAATGTGAGACCCCAGAAATAAGAACTGCCTATGAAAATAGGTCATCCTCCTGCTTCAAATTGAGCATTTAAACAGTGCTTGGGAAGGAAGGAACCAGTTCCACTGTAGGAATCCTTGGCTTGAAGTGAAAGATACGTGGGTTGAGGAAGGCAGTCTTTTTGCAGTAAGACTCCAACACTCAAGATAGATTAAGCCTGACACATCTTATGATATAAAAATAAAAACAAGTTTCATAATACTGAATTTAAACAAGTATGCTTTTTCTCACACAAAGTCGGCAATGTTGGAAGATTCAGATGTCTGTGGCTTAGTTTTTCTATGATAAAACAAGAAAAATAAAGCATTGATTAGGGCTGGCTCCTTGGCCTTGTGGTTAAGGTGGGCAGTTAACATATAGTCTAGTGTGTAGTTCAAATTTCAGTTCCAATGACTTGAAAAACACAGTCCCGCTTGTGTGTGCACGTGTGCCCCAATCCCAACATGATGAAGAAATGAAGGAGATGGGACTGTGGTGGGACCACGCCCTACTGGGAAGTGCTTTCTCCTTCTTGTCTCTCAGCTTCTCTGTCTCTCTCTCCGGTGAGCATGAGCACCCTCTGGCAGTTTAAAAAATTATTATTTAAATAAAGGGGGATTATTTTTCCAGAAACAAGGGATAAATTATCTGTAACTATCTCTTCCAAAGAAGTCGCTGACTAATAGACAGACCCAGATTTGTGTGCACTGAAATCCTTGTGTCGTAGACGCTTTCCTGAGATCCATCATGAGTTATGATATGAGAGCCTTTCTTTCTCTTCAAGCTAACTTAAATAGAGGACGGTCTCCTTATATACACTAGTTTTGAAACACAAAGGAGGGTTTGGCCAGCATCTTGAACAGCATGGTCAGAATGTGGGATCCACACCATGGAGCAGTTCCTGTTTTCATTCTGGAATAATGTGAATAGTTGTACCAGATCTAGAGCTGTTTAACGTGAGCTCCTGGATCCGAGGTCGTTTCCTTATCTGTTAAAGCTGAGAGGCCTTCAACAGTTTTGTGCAAAAGGGAATTAAGGTACAAGCTTATTTTGGTGTCAAAAAAAAGAAATCCATTGTTTTTTATATATAATACATATTTTCTATGAACTTTTTGAAGACCTCTTTTTTTTTTTTTTGCATAAGGCGTGTGTGCTCGCCAGACAGACAGAGAGACAGAAAGTGAGAAATCACCCCCCCAGGGGGGATGGCCACGCCGCAATCCCTTCTCCTCCATTCTCCTCTCGGGATCTTGGGCACGCATGTACACACGCCTGGTGTGAGCTTTAAGCCACTGGGTCTGGGACGCGAACCACGGTCGACTACGTGGGAGTCCAGCAACATAACCATTTCGCTAACTGCTGGTCCCCAAGACCTCTTAAAAGACAGCTTCCTGGCCCCCTCAAGTTGTCAGGTTTGCTTGAGACGTTGCATTGAAGCACTTAGTACAGTATTTGCTTCATCATATGCCGTGGATGATTTTAGTGTTACAATTCCTACTTCTAAGCCCTGCCCTACTAAATTTTGTATATAGGATCATAATTTGCATTGTAAAACCATGTCTGTAATGCATAGCATATGGTACCATGTAACCTTAAAAATAAATCTCATGCAAAACTAAAACAAAATTCTCTACTGCACTCCAAGTATCAAGATAAGCTAAGCACATAGCCGCCATGTTCTTAACTTTCTTAAATACTTACTTCAGTTTTTGAAAGCATTTGCTGTCAGGACTGATAAAGAAAAGGGCAAAACAAGAACTTCAAATCTGCTCTGACAATGCCAATCAACTGGGATTGTTACTTGTCTTGTTGTCTTTTGGAAAATCCATCAACATTAGTGTTGTGTTCTTCTGAGACTTGCTTCCTTTCAGAGCAGAAAACACAACCCCGGGGGAGGGTGAGCTACTGAGGTGAGATGTCATCTTTGAAAGTGACAGGGGTGTTGCTTCTGTGTGTAATTTCGAAGCAAACATGCCAATATTGTGGTCTTCTTTGGAAACCAGTTGGAAACAACAGTACCTCACTCCATGTATTCGTAAGAATATGTGTGTGTATGTATTTATAGGCTCTGTAGGGAACATCTAAAAAGCTGAGATATAAACCGACAGATTATCTAGGACTTTGCTTAAATATTTGCTTTCTGAAGTGATTTTATGACACTGAGCTCAAAAATCTCATCGCTGACACTGAGTTGTAATCCACTCTCTTTCTAGCTTTGCAAACTTATGAACCACCTGGGATATTCTTTTCTATTGATTTCTCAAGATATGTGTACCTAGCATTAGGGAAAGGGGACATTCAACTTCAAAGTAAATGGAGGAACATCTGAAAGGGAAGTGGAGGTTGTACAGGAGAGGAGAACATTTGCTTGTGGGCAAGTTTATGGCTGTCAACAATTGGGATTTTTCATGTTAGGCATTTTCCTGTGAGTGAGTAGGAGGAAAAAAATATCAGTATTTAGATTTTCATCACTAAAAGTATGACTTGGAAAGTTTACATTTGTTACTATCTTCCTCTTTCCTTTTCTTCAGGTAAATAAGGAGAAATTTCAATTGTCTGCCATCCCCCCTCTAGCGCATTCTAAGGGAGCAGCGAACCCCGCTCTGGAATGTTGACTTCTTTCAGTTATTTCCAGCTAAACTGGTCTTTGCTCATGAAAACTGACCACAGAAAGAGCCAAGAGACTAATGTGCCCCACCTCTCCCAACTTTGAAAGTAATATTGTTTCAACCCCAAACACTTTTTTTGGTTGTTTAAGTTTTTACCATAGGTAACATGTGCTAACCAGAGAGAGGCAGAAAGAAGGAAAATGAGAAATCACTCCCCGGGGGGATGGCCACACTGCAATCCCTTTACCTCCTTTCTCCTCTCAGGATTTTGGACACATATGCCTAGATGCCCTGTGTGATTTTCAACCTGTCATGTCTGGGACTCCAACTATGGTCGGATATGTGGGAGTCCAGTGCCTTAACGCCACCTGCTGGCCCCACAAAGTTGGTTTTAAAGCAGAAAGCCATAATTTATAACATCACTTTGCTTTGGGGGAGATGGAAGTTTTCATTCAACTCATCACGTTCACCCACTCACTGTAACCCACTGGATCTTGGTGGGTACAAGTTCCTGGTCATATTTGTTCACTGTAAGCCTCGTGAGAGTGGACATCTTGTCTCCTTGCTCACTACCATAGCCACTGGTTTTACAGTAGCATATGTGCTGTGTGGCTCAGTTGAAGAGTCTCATGGCCATTCATCATTTCTTCTTCACAAAGGGTCTGTTCTCCCTTCTCCTGGCAATGGACATTCTTGTAGCGCGTTCAACCTTCTTCCTTCTGCTGCTCTGGTTCAGCCACACAGACCCTGGATCTCCCTGGCCCCAAAGACTACTTAAGGGACCTGCAAATGCCTGCTGTTAGTTCCCAGTCAGAGTGTATCCAGAGCACAGTGTGGAAGCTGCATGGCTAGAAGTCAGAACTTGCATCATCTTTTTGGCCACCATGAAGGGAGATTAGTGTAACCAGGTTTTGATGCTTTGTAGAAAACCTGAATCTAGTTGTGCCTGCAGCTAGCTAGATCAATCCCAGGACCTTTCAGGTATGTTAACTACTGAATTCTGTTTTGTTGAACCCAAATATAGTTGGGTTTTCTGACACTTCTATTGGGAAAAGTCCTAAATGGACCAGTATAATGCTTTGCAAACAGCAATTACTAAATAAAAGCTATAGACTAGCTTATGTCAGAAAACATAACTAGTGTTGGGACCAGCAGTTAGCATAATGGCTATGTCACTGGACTCCCACGTACTCAACCGCGGTTCGAGTCCCAGACCCGACAGCTTAAACCCACCCCAGGCGTGTGTGCGTGCATGCCCATGATCCCAAGAGGAGAATGGAGGAGAAGGGATTGCGGTGTGGCCATCCCCCCCAGGGGGTGATTTCTCGCTTTCTGTCTCTCTGTCTCTCTCTGTCTGGCAAGTGCACACACCCTATAGCAAAAACCTCTCCAAAAAAGAAAAAAAGAAAAGAAAACATAACTAGTGTCAGGAAAAGACTAGAAATGATACAAAACAGGAAACCAATGCATCCTACCTATTTAATGTTTGGAAACAACTTTCATATTTAATACCATGAATGCAGATGATAAACTGAAAACCGCATTTGCCGTGTGTGTGTGTGTGTGTATGTGTGTGTGTAGTCATAGAGTATACTTTGATGTAGAAACTTGACTCCCATAAAACTAAACTGTGTTCATATTTTTTTTCACATTGTTCACTCATCACTGCCCTTAATGTCTTCCCTGAGTCCCACCTGCTCATTCGGAGTCTTTGTCTGTGGATTCCTTGCCTTGGTCTCAAACATCTGTTTTCACCACTTCATATCCTAAATGATCTCTATTTTCTTACTTTTATGTTCGTAATATCTTAACTCTTCAACATGTTTTTCAGACATCAATTTCTTGTGTCTGGCTGTTTATTGATGTTTCTTGGATATTAAGGTCAAATGTTAAAATTGGGATTTTTTTTTTGTACACCTTTGTATTAACTGCTAAGGTGACCTACATAGAAAAGCAAAATAAAACAATAGGAAAACAACAACAACAAAAAAAAAAACTGTCCCAGAGAGTCAGTTTTCATTAGCTCAAAATGTCATACTTGAAATTGATATTTTTAAACATCAAATGATTTTTCTTGCTAAAAGATTTCAGCTCTGCCCAGAATTTAGTATGAGAATATGAGGTAAGAAACCAGCTGTTTAGTAACTACCTAATTATAAGTAGGAGACATACACTTTCAGAGCCTTGATTACCTCTATCGTTAAGATGGGTGAAATACTTTTCAGGGTATATATAAATAACAAAGTAAAAAATGAGATAAAACATTTTAAAATCCCCCAGCAAGGTGGCTTATATAAATAGAAATGTTATTAACTGGGAATTGATGTCAGTCAAAATTGGTATGCTGAAACTGAATCCCCAGTGTGACAGTATTTGGAGGTACTGGGAACTGATTCCATCATGAGGGTCCTGAATGGAATTAGTGCCTTGATTAAAAGGACCCTGGAGAGCTCTCTCATTCCTCTGCCATGTGATTACACAAGAGGATGGCTATGTTTGAACCAGGGAGCAAACCCTCCCCAGACACTGAATCTGTGGTTACTTTGCCCTTGGACTTCCCAGGCTCTAGAAATGTGAGAAATAAATAGCCCTTAGCTATCAGTCACCCAGTCTATGACATTTTGTTTTAGTAGCCTAAATGGACTAAGGAGAGTCTAATAAATATTAATACACCTTGCCTTTCTTCCATGTAACTCAGTATCAACTTTAATCTTTTTTTTTTTTTTTTTTTTTGCTATTGGGTGAGCGTGCTCACCAGAAAGAAAGAAAGGCAGAGGAACAGAAAGGGAGAAATCACTCCCCAGGGGGGATGACCACAATCCCTTGTCCTTCATTCTCCTCTTGGGATCTTGGGCATGCACGCACATGGGCCTGGCATGAGTTTAAGCCACTGGGTCCAGGACTCGAATTGTGGTCGACTACATGGGAGTCCAGCAACTTAGCCATTACACCAACTGCTGGCCCTCAATTTTTATCTTTCTATGCCAACTATAAAATAGGCATTTGATTAATAAATTTCCATCCTAGAGAATCATGAAAGAAAACATATTTTAACAATATAAATGAATTTTGCTTATTTTTGTTAAGGGCCTTTGACAGCACTGTAAGGAAGTGTATTTCCAAATTCAAATTCAAAGTTATTTCCAAATTGAAATGGGAGGAAGAAAGAAAAATTGAAAGAAAAGGGAAAACCATAAAGAACTTAACCTTTCTTCTATGATTTTCAGTTGGATATAATATAGATTTCAGCAAATCTATTAAATTAATTTTATGGTTATTTCCATCAAACACCATGATAATTTAAGATTTTTGCGAAAGATGGAGTTTAGAGTAATCATGGCTATGGAGTTATGCTTGAAAAACAAACATGCTATTACTCATTGCAAAGTGCTTCTCACCAAGAATTTGAGGCTAATATCATTGCCATTAATTTTTTTTTGATGCTTGATAATAATGATAATAAAGTGAAATGGTTAGAGCAAAGTATACATAAAGAGATTTTTAAAAATTCTATCAAGATTTATTTTATTCGTTTCTGAATTTTTAAAGTCAAGACTGAAATATAATGCTTATTAAAGCCAGAATAAATTCTATGAAACATCCTTAAGAGACTTATTTTTGCTTAAAACATGACAAGTGTCTTTAAGATTAACATATGTTATTTTCTATGGTATTTTGGAATCTAAAATTAAACATTTCTTATTTCTATACACAAATAAGATTTCCCTGCTTCTTAAAGTGTCATGGCTTGAAGGAGAGAAGATATACAGAAAATAACTCAAATCATGATATTCAGATTCAGCTTAGAACATAGTTTACAGAAGTTCACATCGTGGGAGATCTTTTCCAAAAATTCAACCAAAGAAGAGGAAGTTCTGGAAAATGTATTTCATTTGTGTCTTCAAAACTGACATAAGCCTTGACTATGGCTTGAGAACTTGCCAAGTTTTTAGAAATGAGTTTAGCTAACCATATGTGGCTCATTTTTTAAAATCTAGAAGTAGAAGCTAGAAATACAGAATGCTAACATATAATGGCCTGGAACTTCCTGAGCAGAAGGGACTAATGCAATGCTGATTTAAAATATAATTGGTTTAGCTTTCCATAGGTATAATTTTTAAGGAGGACAAAACAATTCTCTGTGTTGAAGAATTTAATCTTTTTAAAAAATTATTTTGCCAGGTAGTGCATGCAATATCTAGAGAGAGAGACAGAGACAGAGAGAGAAAACAAGCGAGCACCCTCTTCCAAAGGGCATAGTCACACCACGATCTCTTCTCCTTCATTCCTCTCTCTTGTTGGGATTGTAAGCATGTATGCACAGGTATCCAGTGTGTTTTGCAAATCACTGGATCCAGGTCTCAAAACACAAGCTCTGCCATGTGCAATCCAGCTGGCCATGGGCTAGTCTGAATTTAATATATTTGCTCACTCTTTATTAACAACATATTCAAGTCCTCTCTCTTCGTCAGGCAATGAACAGAGCAGAGAGGTCACCATCCTTAAGAGGGAATCAGAGACCATTGAACTAGTATGAATGCAACTCCATGAGGTCAGATGTTCTCTCAGAGGAAGTGCTAGGCAGGTGCAATGGAAAAATAATTATAGGACATAACCACTGCTGGAGGTCTGGGAAGTTCCCTGAACGGAAGTGGCTTTTCAGCTGATGCAGAGCATGAGTATGACTTCATCAGATGAGGGAGAGAAGTAGGGAATGAGGATTTGTGTACAGACAATCTCTTGAGAAATTACAGAGGTATATGGGCAGAACTTACTTGTAACCTGTTTCTCTATGTTTTCAATAGCTGGAACAGTGCTTGGCTCAAGGGGAACAACTGATATGTACTTATTAAATGAATGAACACATACACATGTCTTTAGGAATACTTCAAGGATAACTCACAGTGTCATAAGCACCAGGATGATGATAGTGTTATGACTTAATGATATTCTTCTCTACTACCTTTTTGTTTCAGTTGCCATTTTCCTAATTTATGATGAGAGAGAAAGAAAAAAAATCTGTGAATACTCATACACTATTAATTCCCATCCCTGCGACAAGAGTCAGTAATGTGACTGCAGGGATCAACTTAATCCTCTCCTCTCCATCTCTGCTGCCCTGCTCTGGTTTAGGCGCTCATCGCTCCTTGGCTAAGTTAATGCAATTGCCTCTGAGCTGGTATTTCTCCACAGTGCTGCCAGATTTATCCTTCTAAATGCAGATTTGCTCATGTCACCCTCTAAATTAAAACCCTTTGATAGCTTTTCCATTTCTTCTGACTAAAAATCCAAACGTTCGTATGATGCTCAGTCTTTTAAGATCTGGATTCTATACCTGGTGTCCTTTGCACTATTCTTCCTTTTTTAATATAAAAGGTTCACACCTTAACCTTATTCCTTGTTGTTGATTAAAAGATAAAATTCAAGATAAACCATATGCCCAATGTGATGATGAGATCTGAAGTCAGAAAAGCAGTCATGGCAACCTCAGCTAGCAGTCACGCTGCACTCCTGGTCTGAACTTATTCCTTTGGCTAAATTAGATTTATAACT